TCTGTAATGGTTATTGATGTGCGCGTTCGTGGTTCTTCAGGGAGTCGTCATATTGACCTTTGCAGAGGTGAGCTTCAGCAAGGCCGTGATAGATCGAAGCAATATCCTCTCCTGTTGGATCATCTAATAATCTCTCAAAATACTTCTGTACTTTTGAATATTCACCGATGTAAAGGAGAAGACAACCGAACTTAAGCACGATACTCGATTGTTCATTTGTTTTCTTCTTTGATTCAATATATTCGCGAGCAACGTGTGCCCCTTAATTAGTCTCTTTCATTGTTATAATCCAAGTAGTGCACTCTCAATTTAGCTCGATTGTCTGAATTTCAAAGGCTGCTCCGAGATCAAACAAAATTTCTTCCTCTGAGGTAAAGTTACTGATTTCAGCTATATCTCCTAATATTGCCATTTTGGCCGGGATGTCACATTCAATTTCAAATAGAACTGATTGTGGCGTAGAGTTTGTTGTCGATTCGCCAGCAAAATAAAGAACTCCCTCTTGTGATTTGCTTGTAGAGAAGAAGCCATTGGTCGATATTAATTTGTTCTCACTCTGTTTTAAGTTTTCAAATTCATGATTGCGCAGTGCAACTCCACGATACAGTTTCATCATAATAAATGGCTGTCAACCTTTTAGCTCTTCATATTTCTCAGCAAGACGTAGACAAAGACCACCTAATAAAAAATCGGAACGTATATAACTGATCAATATCTTTTATTCTCGAAGCTTTATATTAAAGCTTTACCTGGTTTTGTGTACCGTTGAATTGCTTGCGAAGATTTATAAGTTTTATGAAATTCCTCTATACTTCCGAATGACCTGATCCGCTAAACCGCGATGCTATCCAACTGACCTACTTATTTTGATAATCTATGACCGTCAAAGAAATGCGGTGTCTCAGATAATCAGAACAACAAAGTTCATCTGTGATATCCAATAATACAAAGATCATCCGAGATTAGTTGAAAAGATCAGATCAGAGAGTGGCGAACTGATTTTCTGATATGCTAAATGATACGGCTGTATGGGTGTGGATATTTGAGAATCGGTTTGGCACTCGCCGACTGAACCTTTTTGGATGAATAGAATAATCAAACACCGAAAGAGTTTTTGATGAAGAAAGTTGCTCTACGGTTTTTTGCTGTTTTTTCAAAAACTTATGTCAACACTTCCTAAGAAAACTTCTCAAAATTTTCATCTGATTCCACATCGCAAAACTTGAAGGATGTAAACTTTTATTTTAACTTCTTTTTTCAGTATTGTTGCCACAGTCGCCTTCGGTGACTCTTTCAAGTTATGTTTGTGATCAAACAGAAAATATTTCTTCACATTTCCAACAATTCTCATGATCGTAGATTAACACAAGGTGCACAACAAGATATACAACTATTATCACTGATAACAACAAATCAAACAACGGAAGATTTTGTTTCAGACAAAATGAAACAGTTATGTAAAAAAATTTTATTGATACCATCAATTATACTATCATCAACAAAATTGAATAAATCATCAGAAGCATATAGTATGCCCGATGTTCATAAAGCTTGTCAACTATTGATTAATAAAAACTGATTGAATTAAAACCAGATTTTTTGGCCAACAATGTAAATTTTGTTGAATCATATTTTAAGCTCTTACCATCGAATAGAATTGATGAAGTGGAATTTGCATTAAAAGACAAAATTCATTTGAGTAAAAACTTTCTTAACTTTCCTCAAATCAAATAGGTGAAAACAAAATTAGAAAAACCTCTTTTCGAAAAAAACTTGCGAAGTGAATTAAAGCAAAAATTCGATGTTCATTCATTAGACCGAATATTTTGCTAAAGTTTCAAAAAAAAAACTTTTTTAATTGTTGTTTGTTTCTAATTCTTAAAGGATGGGGCGTATGTTACGCACTGAAATAGGTCTGTGTGTTGACTCTCAAGAGCTTATATCACCATTCTCAAGTATTTTTTTTAGAACAAGACAACGGTGATGAATTGCATCAGCCAAGTTCACAGCAACCACAAGAAGCTGAAAGTACAACAGTAGAACATTTAACCAGAAAACGACTCATAAAATTAACTCCTGAAGCCAAAGCCGTAATCGATCAAAACAATTCAAATTCTCACGGTTACCCTGAATTTGTTGTTGTATTCGTTATCGTTTTTTTCGTCTTTACAGTTTTCTTCTAATGTTTCCTTTTAATCGAACACAGAACAGTTTACGGGTTTTAGGTGAGTTTTTCAGTTTTGTGTGATAACGGCTGATAGAAAGAAACATAGTCTCTCATTGCACTAGTCCCAAAATAGTTTGAGTGAGTCAATTTCGTTTCTCAATAAAGCCAACTTAATTAATTTTTAACGTCGAACCTGCAAAAAAAATTTTGTGTCGAAAGCGATATTTTTAAATCCGAGTGAAAGACGATATTTCAAAATTCTCTTCTTTTTACAGATAGCTTTGAGTGCATAAAGCCTATTATTTTATGATATCTTTTGCCTGATTCCTGACGTTCATAAAAAAATATAACTGTTGACTAAACATGGGTTATAATTATGATTTTATTCGCTTAAATTTGAAAATACCTTAAACGGCCACTGCATTGCCTCGGAAGTGTTTTTCTCACCAGCGGTTATCTCGTAATGAGAAACTCAGATTTTACGAAAGAACTTTTAAGATGTGTTTGCATTTGATTCTTTTTCATTTTTTTATCTTTCTGTTTGTTTCTGCTCCAATTGCTTTTGTATTGTTACTGCATAAGTGATTGTATAATGAAATCTGCTACTTTCTATTTGGATATTAGGGGTTTGAGTTTTTCTAAGTTCAAACATATCTTGAATACATATATACCTTAATACTTGCTATGTGTTTTCATTGTATTTTTTATTTGAAAGTTTGGTTGTGAACTTATATAATTGTTTTAATGCACAAAGTGGAATTTTCGTTTGAAAAACTGGACTTTTTTGTAATAAAACTTCTATGTTTTGCTCACTTATGCATAAAATTTAATTGTAAAAATCGTTGTTTGATATATGTTTAAATGAAAAATATTCTTGTTTAGTTCTGTACTTCCATGACCAACATTACATATCTACAAAAAACTTCGATAATCTTTTTGCATATTCTTTTCAAATGACACAATTTACGCAGAATGTCATCATTAACGAACAAGAAATGTTTATTGTTGCAATAAACGGAAAAATTCCATTACAACATTTAAATCTTATTGTTGGACAACTGCATAAAAACAAAATTTGATGACATTTGTAATATCCTCGAATTAACTTATCATGTTAAATATGAACCTGGATTGGTACAGACAATTCTAAATTTAATAAAACGCAAAGACAAAATAGTCGATCTATTCACATCGGAAAATAGTAATGAAACAATATTAAAATATTCTAACAATCCACATTTTCTTACTGAAGCATCAAGTACGTACGGAAGTAAAGTAAGCCTGTGAATAGTTCCTTGCCTATATGGACTCCAGATCTTGATGAAACTTACTTTTGAATAACAAATCAAATTGTAGGAGTACACATCAGTGTATTGAGATGTTCAAGCGGCCGCTTTCAAGATAAAACGAGAAATATTCATCCATATGTAGTTTAACTTTCTTCTAGCTACGAAATGAAAATTTCCGTTGAATCAATCACAGGTAGTGTTTTTTTCATTGATCTTCTGCAGATCTCTATCTATGATCTGCTCTAACATTTGCAGAAGTTTTTTTAACGGCTTAAGATATCATTAAATAAAAGGTTCAATGTTTTTAATTACAAACATACTGGTACTAGAAACAAGGTTTAGCTTATTAACTATCCAGTTATACAAGAATTAGATCTTCATCGCCTTTCACTTTTCAATGAAACGGTCGTTCGTGAAGATCCGGTGA